GGCTGCTGCGTGGAGGCCCTGTCCTCTCCTCCGCCCACGGTCACCCCGGGCTGCGTGGAGGGCCCTGTCCTCTCCTCTGCCCACGGTCACCAGTGAGCACCAGGGACGGGCTTTCCAGCTGCACCCGGGGCTCTTCCTGCTGCCGGAAGCTGCCTGGCCTCCTCCACCTGTAACAATGCACCCCCCACCCCAGTGAGTGGGTTCCTGGGCCCCACCCAGCTCCACCTGTGAGGGTGCACTCCCCCACACCATGAGTGGGTTCCTGGGGCCCCACCCAGCTCCACCTGTGAGGGTGCACTCCCCCACACCATGAGTGGGTTCCTGGGCCCCACCCAGCTCCACCTGCGAGGGTGCACTCCCCCACACCATGAGTGGGTTCCTGGGCCCCACCCAGCTCCACCTTCGAGGGTGCACTCCCCCACACCATGAGTGGGTTCCTGGGCCCCACCCAGCTCCACCTGTGAGGGTGCACTCCCCCACACCATGAGTGGGTTCCTGGGGCCCCACCGGCTTCACCTGTGAGGGGTTTCCAGGGTCTCACCTGGCTCCACCTGTGAGGGTGCACCTCCCCGCCCACACTGTGAGTGGCCACGTGAGTGGGTTCCTGGGGTCCCGAGATCCATCTGTGATATGCCCCCCCGCCCACACTGTGAGCGGTGTCTGGGGCCCCACCCAGCTCCCATCTCCTCTCCTGCATTCTCTCTGCTGCTTGTCAGCAAAGCCAAGGTCACCCCGGGTTGGAAGGGGGACCCGGGATGCTGCTTAGACGTCCCGGCCACTCTCCCACCCCCACTCCCCCACTCCCTGTTTTCAGGATGAAATTGTCCTCAAATAAAGCCAGTCTTCGAGTCAGTTTGCAAGAGGAAGGAAGTTTGCTTCAGGCGCCTCATTTTGTTGGAACAAAGGGATCTAAAGATAGACATGTGGTCCCACCTCCCTGGCCTGTCACATGGCCAGGAGCCAGGACCCGATTTTCTGTGAGGAAAGCTCGGTGGTGGGCTTCACCTGTGTATCCGCTGAGCCAAGGGCACCTCTGCCCTTCCCGCCCATCATCCCTGAGGTGACCAGAAGAGATCGGCCCCACCAGGCAGGGCTGCTGCAGTGGGGCAGGGGCAGGCCTGGCCACCCCCACACTGGCCTCCCCTGCCGCCTCTGCCCAGATGTGCAGGATGTAGGAAGTGACCCGCACAGCAGGGGAGTGGACGGGCAGCCTCCACCAGGCCTCGGACGTGAGACCCTAACCCTCCCCCTCAGACCTGCCTCCGAGCTGTGGGGTGATCACTGGGGTATTGGTTGGGGCAGGATGTCGTGCCACCTGGTACTCCCACAGAGGACCTGGGTGAGGGGGCTCGGCCTGGCCTGGGCTGGGCTTGGGTGGTGAAGACGGGTGCGGGGCCCACCGCCTCCCGGACATCCGAGAGGATGGAGCGCCACGAAGCCACGCTCGCCTGCCTGCATCTCCTCCGGGGACCTGCCTCCTGAACTGGGTGCCACCCTTGTTCTTCCGTGAGCTTCTTAGTCTTATGGGTGCAAAATTAAGTCAATTGGAACTTTTTTAAAAATGTGATCATAAGTGCAGAATTTCCCATCATTCTTGAGTGGATTCAAAACATCAGGAAGAATGATAACTTACACATGTAAACGAAAGGAACACCCAATGCCCTGAATATCCCAGGGCCCCCGGCTGCTGACGGTGTGTGTGGGGAGCAGTAAAAGGCTAACATTCTGACGGTGGTCAGAGAGCATCCTTCGGCCTCTTCAGCTTCATGGAGTGGCCGGTGATCACTTCAGATGCAGTGACTTTTTTTCTTTTTGAAGATGGAAACTTGTTCTGTCACCAGGCTGGAGTGCAGTGGTGAGACGGCAGCTCACTGCAACCTCCACCTCCTGGATTCAAGCAATTCTCCTGCCTCAGCCTCCCCAGTAGCTGGGACTACAGGCTGGCATCACCATGCTCAGCTAATTTTTGGATTTATAGTAGAGACGGGCTTTCACCATGATGGCCAGGATGGTCTCAATTGACCTCATGATCCGCCCACCTCAGCCTCCCAAAGTGCTGGAATTACAGGCGTGAGCCACTGCACCCGGCCTATGATTTTTTAGAGTTTATTTGTATGAGCTTGGCCGTGTGCAGTTTCTGATCATGCAGAGGGGGACCCTGCTTTTCAAACCCAGAACGAGGCATTTGATCTAAGGGATAATATTTAGAATCTGTCCTGGCCCAAGGAGTCCAGAGGCGCCAGGGGCTACCAGCAGGTGGATGCTGCAGTGTGGACAGGCAGTGTAGATGGTGAACAGGCAGTGTGGACAGTGGATAAGCGGTATGGATGGTGGACAGGTGGTGTGGACGGTGGACAGGCGATGTGGAAGGTGGCAGGCAGTGTGGACAGTGGACAGGTGGTGTGGACGGTGGAGAGGCGGTGTGGACGGTGGACAGGCAGCATGGACGGTGGACAGGCGGTGTGGACGGTGGACAGGCGATGTGGAAGGTGGCAGGCAGTGTGGACAGTGGACAGGTGGTGTGGATGGTGGATAGGTGATGCTTTGAGCCCTGTGGGCCTGTGACACCCAGAGAGTGGGAGCCCGCATGTGAGGAGTTGGGGCCTCGGCACTGGATTCCACAGGCTGCTGTGAGAAGGCCCCCCTCCCTTCCTCCGCTTCGTTAGCAGGGAGAGCTGCTGGGCCGGGCCCTGTGGGGAGGGTGGGGAGCCAGGCATGGTCCCTGCAGTCTTGAGTAGGGGCTTGCAGGCACCCATGGAGTGTGCAGGATGCCGGGAGGGCCCCGGCTGGTGAGGAGGTGGAGAAGGTCCTCTCCAAGGTGGCGTCTCCATAGGAAATAGAGTGGGGTCAGACTGGCCACAGAGGGGCCGCTGAGCAAGGGCTCCTGGCCTGAACCTCGCCTGTCTGAGGAACTCTGAGTGTGTGGCTAGCCCCTGGAGGGGGTACGAGGAGGCCCCCGTGGACAGCCTGTCCCAGAGGCCGCTTTCACTTCACGTACCACTCTCCGGACGTGGAGGGGTGGTGGGCAGTGTCTGTCCATCTCTAACACACAGGAAAGATGTCTGCTGTCAGCAGGGCCCCAGAGCAGGTGCGGGCGAGGTCCAGAGCTGCGTCAGGAATGCCTGCGCTATGAGGGAACACGCCGCCCGCCGCCTGGAGCTGCCACTGTGGAGTCTGGGAGTCATGGTGGAAATGTCCATTCGATGCCTGACTCACGGTCAATGGCGTCTGGAGGCTGAAGTGTGGAAGGGAGACATGGGTGATGCTTCCCCGATCATGGCCAGGTCCCGGTGAGCCCAGCCGCCAGCCTCCTGCAGCTGCCACTGACCGTGGCAGCCCCTGTCCAAGCTGACCCCCATGACAGACCTGCCAGCTCACAGCAGCAGTCTTTTTTGTAGCCCCCAGAATTTCTCAAAACTCCAGGGAGAGCCTTCCCCCGAGGTCTGTGTCAGCCGTGTGCTTCTCCAGGGTGAGCAGATGCTGGGTTTGAGGAAGGCGCCTCCTGGTTTCCTCTCTGAGGCTGTAGCTGTTCCTGGTGAGAGAGAAAAACGCAATGTAAAATCTGAATGTTCAACTGTGCAGTCTAGGCTGCCGTCAGCTGCACAGATGCAGGCTCTAAACAGAGGTGCGCACCGGTGGGGGTCACCTCGCCCGGAGTACTGGTGTGACTGATTCTGTCCTTCTCCCACAAAATAAGCCATTGCTGAGACATAGCTGCTTACTGGGAGCGGACCTTTGCCTGGAGCTCTCCCTGCAAGGCTCAGTGGAAGGGCCTCGACATCTGTGTGGCTCGGGCAGCCCCGTGACGCTGTGGCCCCGCTGCTCTGTCACCAGCACTGGGGCTGTCTCCAGCTTAGAGGCAAACCAGCCCGGTAGCCGGCAAGGCCACAGCCGCCACAGCCCAGGAGGGGCCCCTGTGGGTTCCCTGAGTCCTGTGTTTACACTTGCTCGTCTGCAAGACTGGAGGAGCAGGATTTAAGCCTGTTGCCAGGTCGATATTAGCTCTCGTCTTCCCCTGGGAATTTCCAGGTACTAACACCTCTCTGACCCACATCTTCAGGCTGTGGGTGGCCTGGGTCCTCAGGTGCGGAAGAATTGAGTGTTTAAGCCGTTCTCAGGCCGTCAGCATGAGTCCTGCATCTTAGAGGGAAATCAAGTGGCTGTTCAGGTGTAAATGTGTCTGTGTGATGAGAGCACTGGCCAGAAATCGCATCTGCTCCAGGTCAGTGTCCCTGAGGCACAGGCGCCTGGCACCTGCTCTGAGACTGCCAGCCTGTCAGTCCGCACGGCTTTCCCTGGAGGGTCTTGCTGGCCCCGTGCTCCCTGCTGGTCCTGACCCCGTGCTCCCGGCTGGTGCTGGCCCGGTGGCTGCAGGTGCTGCAGTGCACCCAGACCCCTCGAACCTACTGCGTGCAGGGACGGATGCGGGGGTTGGCCCTGCTGTTGCCATCCTGTCTCATTTGTATCCAGCTAATGGCGAGGCCAGAGGTGTGGCACAGACCCCCGAGGGTCCCGTGTGTGTGGTGGCAGTGGTCTGTTCCTTGGCCAGGATTTCCTCGTGGGCCACAAGTTATTCCACCCGCAACAGGTGCGGGCCAGGGATCATCTGAACGTTTTCCCCGATGTGGGTGAGACTCAGACCAAAGCGAAGTCATCCAAGGAGCCAGGACCCAGCCCTTTGCCGCTGCTCCCCTGCCTCCCCTCTGCCCAGGTGTCTGTCTTTGTCCTTCCCTCTCTCTGCCTCAATCTCTCTCTCTCTGAACCTCTTATACCACACTATAAAAATTGTTGGTGAATCACTCAACTCGCAGCTTTTGTGTGCTGGGAAGCGAAAGGCCGTGCTCCCTGCCGGTGCTGACCGTCTCCGTATTGGAAACTGAAAAGCCTTTCTCCAGCCACATGACGTGGCTCCTGCAGGTGCCCGTGGAAGTGCCGGCTCTGCATGGGATCGGTGGGGGCAGCTTCTCGGGGCTGACGCATGCTGTCTGTCTTCCCCACAGATGAAATCATGCACCAGGACATCGTCCCGCTCTGCGCTGCTGACATCCAGGACCAGCTGAAGAAGCGCTTTGCTTACCTGTCCGGTGAGTTCCGGAAGCCGGGACAGGGTGGAGAGGGAGAGGTCTGGGGCCAGGTGTGGGCTGAGCAGCCCCCGTGGCCTGGGCTGGGCTGGAGCTGGGAAGGGTCATGTGAGGGCTGCTCGTTCACTGCCTTGGGTGTGATCTATGACCTAGAGGCTCTCCCCATCTCTGTGCAGCAGGCAGTTGGCACACGGCCACTGGGAGGAGGTGGGCAGAGGAATGTCAGGGTCCCCAGTGGGACGCAGCCTGGGCACCACTGATTGCAGCCTCCAGGGACAAACGTGGGTGGTGTGTGGGTGCTGAGCCCATGGGCTTCAGTGACCCCCAGTTCCCGCTGCATCCGGGCACCTTCTGGCTGCTCTGGCCACCCTCCCAGGCCACGCTCCATCCACTGTGGCCTCCAGTCCTGCATCTGGCCCACCTGTGGAGGTGGTGCCTGCAGCCATGGGGACACAGTGAGGCCCCCAGCCCCCTGTGTGGGTGCGGCGAGGGCGCCTGCAGTGGCCCCGAGCTGTGCAGATGCCGTTCTTATGTCAACAAATCTGCCCAACAGGACCCATCAGAAAAAAACCCCACACACATGCGTGCCCTCCCTGGGCCATGAGGGTGCCCTGGCGCTGAGGACGCAGTGCTCTTGGGAGTCAGCCTCTGCCTTCTGCGTTCTGCCAGCAGCCCAGCCCCCACTCCATGACTGGCATGGTGGGGGCCTCCATCCTGCACCTGCACCCCCCAGAGCCAGCCTGCACCCCAGGCCAGGACTTGGAGTCTAAGGGAGGCTGACTGCCAGAGGCCAAGGTGCAGCTGGTGGGTTTTTTGAGAACAAAGTTGAAGAGACAGCCAGCAACACGATGGCCTGAGGAGAAGGAGAGCTGTCCCGGGATGGACCCTGCTTTCCATGGTCTTGTGGCCCGGGAGGAGGAGGGGAGGAAGCGGGTAGTCTCTGGGAACTGAAAACTCCCAGAGTTCGGGGGCTCCAAGCTCCCTGCATTGGGGACCAGGCGCAGTGACGGCTCAGGAGAGGCACTGTGGCTTCTGCTGGTTCCTCCTGCGTCCTCAGCTCCCTTATTCCTTCCACGACTCCAGAGAGGCTCACAGCCTTGCCACGAGGAGGGACCCTGACCTAGGCCTCCAGCCTTGACCTTCCTCCAGATGCCAGGCCATGCTCCACCCACTGGTGCCTGGGAGGGCAGAGTCCCAGGACGGCCCCAGACACCACCTTTTCTCAGTGGTTTCTCAGACGCCACCCCAGGAGCGCTGTGAGGGCATTTTGCAGATGAATTTGAGGCTCCCAATCAGCTACTTTAAGGTCTTCCTTGGTGGGCCGGACCCGATCAGCCAAGCCCTTAGAGATGTGCTCTTCCCGGCATGAGAGATTCCAGGTGCAGGAAGGATTTGACACCCGGGAGTTCTCTGTGTGGCCCTGAAGGAAGCAGAGGCCGCCTGACCAGGATGAGAGCTGCCCCATGGAGGAACCTGGGGCCTTGGCACTGCAGCTGGGAACAGAGCCTGCCAAGCCCGTAGTGGGGAGCTGGAGGAACAGGGCTCAGAGACGATCACAGCCCAGCGACCCTCCACATGGACCTGGAGACCCCGAGCAGAGACCCGCGCTCTGATCAGTGCCGGAGCGTCAGAGGTCCTGGACCACACTGAAGCCTCCGTGGGCTCCTCTCCCTCCTGGAATAAAAGCCGGACTCCCCTGTGCTACTGCTGCCCGCTCTGGTCTCCTGCCCACACCCTAGAGGCAGGCTGCCTCCCCATCCCCTGCCTCGGGCCAGCCTCGGGCCTTTGCATGGCAGGCCTTCTCCCTGCAGCCCATTTTTTCCACGGGGCTTGGGGCTGGCCCGTCCCCTCAGGCCCTTGCTCAGAGGCACGCCCTTGGCCACACCCTCTCCCTCCTCACCTGTGCTCTGCCACATACCCCTCGTTACGTGACCTTGTGTCTTCCTGTGCATGGTGAGGGTCCCTCCTGAGAGCTGGACTTGCTCACGGCTGCCCGCTGACTCCTAGAGGTGCACCCAGCCCAGAGCCATGTCCTGAGGGCTCGGCCATGGGCCCAGCTGGGGTGGGACCCGGTGCAGGCCAGGCTGTTCTCAGGATCCAGGTTGTAGCAGCAGTACCGCGTCTGAGACAGATTGGTGTCAGCTGGTGCTTCTGCAGGTGTGCGTGGATTTGGATGAAGTCCGTGGCAGCCCTCGGTGATTCCCTCCTCACCACGTCTGAGACGGATCGGTGTCGGCTGGTGCTTCTCCTGCAGGTGTGCGTGGCTTTGGATGAAGTCCGTGACAGCCCTTGGTGGTTCCCTCCTTACCGCATCTGAGACGGATCGGTGTCGGCTGGTGCTTCTCCTGCAGGTGTGCGTGGCTTTGGATGAAGTCCGTGGCAGCTCTCCGGTGTGTGGGTCTGCAGTCACCCCATCACCTCCCCACCACGTCCAGCACAGCTGCCTCCTGAAGCTGCACCTATGCTCTGGGTTCGTGCCATGAAGCCCCCTTCTGTGTCCCCATGACACAGGCCACGCACAGAGGGACTGAAACAACAGGGGCTCCTCTCAGGTTCCGTGGGCTGCGTCCCTTCCAGAGGCTCCTCCAGCTTCAGGGCATGGGCGTTCCTTGGTGTCCCTCGGCGTATTCCTGCGGCCGCCTCACCTGCAGATAGCCCCTCTGCCTTTCTCCCAGGACACCCGTCACGAGGTTTAGGGCCCACCCTGTAATCCATTACGATCTCATCTGGAGAACTTAGTTACCTCTGCACAGACTTTTCCAAATAAAGTCATGTCTTTAGGATCCTGGGACCGAGCGTGAAAAGGGGCCACCTTGGACTCAGGGTGAATCTGGCTCACAGGTTTGCTGTCTTGACAGCTGCCCCAAGCGGGGCCCCCCCACCCCCACAGCACCTGTAGGACTTGCTCTCACCTTGTCCCTCCACTCGAAGGAAACACAAACCCCCCACCTGCTGCCCCTGCACACTGACCACTGCGGCGGTGGGGCCCGGCCGGGTGCGGCCCCTCCTCATAGCTGGAGCCCACAGGCCGACCACCCCCAGCCTGTCTGTGGACTTTTGCTTAATTCCTGGTCTTTTGGTGCCCGGAATGAAGTCCCAGAGCGAAGAACTAAAGGTGTCAGGGAGGAACGGCTCCAAAGTTTCCTTTTCAGGAGGAGACTCTGCCATGGGTTCTGCGTGTGCTGCTGACTTCCTCTCCCTGCGGACGCTGTCTGCCACGGAGCCAGGGCTGCCCTGCAACCTGTGTGGTCCCCTCTCTTCTGGCTCTGTTGTCTGCAGATGCACAGGTGCCACGCAGACCCCACAGCTCTGTCCCGGTCCTGGTCCAAACCAGGCAGTTTTTGAAAGGCAGCCAAGTGAGGGGTGTCTCTGCCCAGGGGGCTCTGAACTCCTGCACGTGACCACCCACAGTTAGGGACGAGCTGCAGACGTGGCCCCTGGAATCTGTCTGTCACTGCAGACAGCGGCTCCCAGTCCAGCCTGCGTCCTGCGTCGTCCACACCCTCTACCCCACAGTGACATCCGCCCTGAAAGCGCCTCGCTTAACCCAGAAGCCACAGGACATGCCACCCTACTGTCCCCTCTAGTTTTCTGAGATTTGGGGAACAAGGAATTGGGTTTAAAATCAGGAAATATCCTACATGTAAATTCTTCATTGTTCTTGTCCTTCAGGGCAGAGCTACCTCCCGAGAGTCAGCCATTCGACTCTCTTGCTGAAGGCTGAGGGCTGGGGGTGCGTGGGTGTCCCGAACCCAGAGGCAGAGGCGTGTCCCTGCCTGGCAGTTGGAGCAGGGCCTGAGGAGGTCGTGGCCTCAGAGCTCAGGCCTTGTGTCGTCTTAGAAAAATGCTTCAACTTGCCGGCCGTCAGCAAGAGCTAAAAACAGGGCGGGAGGATTTACCGTTGAGGAACTTAAGGTCTGAAGTGAAAAACGCTGAGAACAGACTTGCCACCGGTGAAAACCGCAGCGCTGAAACGGAGGCCGTGCCCGGAACGCAGCCGCCGGCACTGGGCGTCTCACTCCCTGCCGTGGACGGCGGTCCCCTCCCAGTGTCCGTGCAGCTCGGGGGAATTGCGGTTTGCTTTTACAAGAACGTGGCGTGGTCAGAGGCAGCCGTGAGGGCATCCAGACCTGGACTTGACAGGGTTGTTCCATCCCAGGCCCAGGCAGCCTCTGGTGTGGAGACCCTCCCTGGCCCGCGCGCTCTTCCTGGGAAGAAGACCCTCGTCAGGCCTCCTTGGTCTCCTCTGCTTCCTCACCTGCCGCACAAGCCCCTCCTACAGGCCTTGCCCGTCTCCCGGCCCGTGTCGGTTTGTCCCAGCTCACGTCTCATCCTACGGACCTAAGCGTCTGTGAGCCGAGCCACAGTCCTCAGCTGAGCTGCAGGGCTCCAGTGCGGTGCTACCTGGGCTGTCCTGAGAGAGGACTTTGAATGGGGGCAGGACCCTGGGGTCTTCCTGGCACACGGTCTGAGGCTCCAGCCACCATGCCCCAAGCTCACTCTGCGCTCACCAAGGCCGGATGGCTGCTCCAGCCTGCGACGACCAATCGTGCCCTCCCTGAGGCCGGCGTCACCCAAGCATCAGCCACAGACACGGGGTCCCCACCCATAGGGGTTCACCCTTGCTGGAGAGGAACAGAAATGGACAGAAGGTCGCTGGGGTGGCCTTGGGCGTTCTGCAGAGAATCAAGGCAGTGAGACTGAGACAGGAATCCCTGCAGGTTAGGGCGGAGGCGCGGGTTCTCCTTTCTGGACCTGCTTCAAGGAATCGATGGTTGCACAACGCCCGACCAATTGCTGTGGGACAAATGTTGGTGCCCCCCAAGTTCAGAGGTTGAAACCCTAACCCCGAGGTGATGTTCGGGGGAGGTGAGGCTTGTGGGAGGAGATGAGCTCATGAAGGTGGAGCCCCATGTGGGATCAGTGCCTTTAGAAGGGGCTAAAGAGACCAGCGCTCCCTCCGCTGCGTGGCCACACCTCCAGGAGGCAGACACCAAGTCTGTGGGCGCCTCGACCTTGGGCTTGCCTGCCTAGAGCTGTGAGATTAATTTCTGATATTTGAGCCACCCAGTCTATGGTGGTTGTTCTGGCTTCATAGACAGACCAGCAACCAACGTATGTGAAGGTGTGAGTCACTGCCACAGCTGTGGTGTTGACACAGGCGCCCGTCAAGGTGCAGCTCCATGTCGCTTCGTGCTGTCCAGTTTCAGAATGTCATGCCTCCTTGATGCCATCTCCACACTCACAGGAGGTTTTTATTTAGTTCTTAAGATTTTTCTACCTGACAGTTAACTTAGGATACAGGTGTCATAATAAGTTAACCACTTGAATGTTTTCGTTCCTAAGCAGCTCATGTGGGTATGAGTTTCTAAAGCCAGGTTTGGTCTGATGCATCAAAAAGAGGGACACCCTAAGATACATCATGTCCATGGATAAAATGAGGCCGGACACGTGTGTGAGTCATCACAGGCTCCTGCCCAGGATGTGTGCATGTGTATGTGTCTACATGTGTGTCTCACCTCCCGCCCAGGATGTGTGTGTGTGTGCCTTGGGGGGGGTGTGTGTGTGTGTATGTGTGCATATCTACATGTGTTTCTTGGTCAGCTTAGGCTGCTTGCTGTGACAAAGTCCCCTACACTAGGTGATGTAAGCCATAGGAGTTTCCCTCTCTTGGTTCTGGGGCAGGAAGTCCAGGATGAAGGCACTGGCAGACGTGCTTCCTGGTGAGGGCTCACTTCCTGATTTACAGACTGCCGCCTTCTCGCTGTCCTCGTGTGGCCAGAAGAGCAGAGCAAGCCCACAGAATCCCATTCGTGGGATCCCCACTCCCATGGCCTCCTCACCTCCCAAAGACCCCACCTCCCAGCACCGTCCCCTTGGGGGTCAACATTTCAACACATGAATTTGGGGGAAGGCAAACATCTAGTCCATAAGAATGTGTATGTGCAGATGTGTGTACGTGTAGTGTGTATATGTGTGCACGTGCAGCTGTATGTGTGTGTGTAGATGTGTGTGTACTTGTAGCTGTGTATGTGTGTATACGTGTGTGTAGGTGTGTGTGTTTGTATATATATGTACATATACATACCTGAGCATGCACATGCATGTGTATGTAGCTGTGTATATGTGTGTAACTGTGTGTGTATATGAACATGTATGTGTGTATAGGTAGCTGTGTGTAGCTGTGTGTGTATATGTGCGTGTATGTGTGTATAGGTAGCTGTGTGTGTATAGCTATGTATGCATGTGTACATGTAGGTGTGTGTCTAGCTGTGTGTGTGTAGCTATGTATCTGTATGTAGCTGTGTATGTGTGTGTGTGTTTATAGGTAGCTGTGTGTATAGCTGTGTATGTGTGTGTGTGTGTGCGTGTATGTGTGCATAGGTAGCTGTGTGTGTGTGGCTGTGTGTGTATTAAACTGAGTGTGTATCTCACATTAAGGCGAGATGCCATAGGAGTCACACTTCTTTGTGTGACAGGGATGAGAGGGAGCCACACTGCCTTCCCCCTCAGCGAGTGGACGAAGGCCCAGTTGCTTGGGTGCAAGAGTTCACATGCAGGTGTGACAGGTCTCCACCAGGACAGTGGTTTTTGGACGTGGGTGGGAACCGGGGGCTATCCCTGGTGCTGGGTGGACCCCACTCTGTGGTTCCGGTGCTGCTCTGAACCACACAGAGGAATTTTGCAGCCCTCTGTCCTCTGCAGCGTTCAGTCAGCCTCCAGTTACCAGGCCAGGTGCAGACGCAGAAGTAGAGCTTGTTCTTGGTGCCCTCAGCCCCACAGGGTCCTGGCACTGCCCACCTTGGTGGGAGGATCTCTCCAGAGAGGGGCTGTTCCCCCGACTCCACATCCAGCCTCATAACCTGCAGGTGCTGGGGGCTTTGGCGTCTGCTTTCTGAATCGCAGTGGACAGACTGGGACTTTCGCTCCTGACTTGGGAAGAAAGAATAGGGTCTTTGCTTCCTGTGGAGACTGCCTTGGATCACAGAGGGTTCACAGATACCCAGGCCCCTGGGGGCAATTTCAGCCCCGGCTGAACCAGGCTGCGAGGCCCAGGCCCAGTCCCGGGCGATTTCAGCCCCGGCTGAACCAGGCCGTGCGGCCCAGACCAGGCCCTTGGGGGTGATTTCAGCTCTGGCTGAACCAGGCTGATAATTGTGTCAGGTGCTGCGTGAAGCTGAGACGTGCTTTGAGCCCCCACCACGGCAGTGCCCGAGGGAAGGTTTGTCGTGCCCGCTCAGGAGGACACAGGGCTGCAGGGTTCACTCCGCGGCCTCTTACCGTTGGGATCTGAGGCATTTTCAGAGAGGAAGTGAATTAGCCATGCTGAAGGGTTTGTGAGGGAGGGACAGGCATGTTCTGTTGAGGACTGCATGGGGCATTGTGCCCCGCCACAGGCGGGAGCAGGGGTCAAGAGACTGGGGGCTGGGAGGGTTCGGAGGGCAGAGGTCGTCAGAGCACAATGGAGCCGGATCAGGCAGCTGCCTTCCTGTTTGGGGCTTTATTAGAATCAAGCATCTCAGGGACTGGGCTGTCCCAGGTGAAGGGGAGGCCCTCACGGGGTGTGGGCACCTCTCAGCTCTGCCCGCTAAGAGGCTCGGCGGCTGTGACAGGCTGGAAGCAGGAGCCCCGAAGGAGGTCAGGAAGGAGCTGGGGAGATGGGGCGCACTCATGTGACGTCCTGGCCGGGCGAGAACAGTCATGTCAGACAGAATCACGTCCCACCGAGGGGCCCTGACTGGCCAGACGGGCTCCGTGGAGGGAGGGCTGGGAGGAGGCCAGAGCCGGGCGCTGAGAAGGCGCCACGGGAAGCCCTGTGGGCCCAGCGCCCCGAGATCGCTGGACAGTAAAGCCTTCCTGCCTGGCGTGGCTGAGCTTGGCCAAGACCCTGAAGCAGAAGCTCCTGAAGCCGGGGGCAGTGGCTGTGGGGGTGTGAGGCAGCGGGGCTGTCGCTGTTAAGACGCAAAGCTGTGGCTGTCGTCGGCCGTGTGAGGCCCGGGTCATCTGGATGGAGGCGGGAACCCCTGTTATCTGTTCTATGTAAAAAGTTTCCCTAAACTTAGCAGCTTGAAACAGCCCTATTTTACTGACTTATTCTTCCTTTAGTGGATCAGGAGTTCTAAAAGGGCTCAGCCAGGCAGTTTTCTTCACTCAGCAGGGCACTGACCGGTCCTTCACCCGCTGCGTCCTCGCGGGGGCCGGGCCAGGTGTCCCGGGGCATCCCAGGGGCTGCAGTCCCCCACCCCTCCTCCCTGCCCTTTCACACAGCCCGCCCTCCCCCCGCAGCTGGGTCTCCTCACAGCAGGTGGGTGCAGAGTCGTGGGGCCACCTCGCCAATGACTGGGGCTGTGAGAGGCAGCGGCTGTGTCGAGTCCCAGGCTCACCTCTGCTGTGTCCTGTGGGGAAGCAGGTTGCAAGGCTGTGCCCAGGCTCAGGGGAGGGAAGTGGACTTGGTCAGGCCGAGGTGCCGTGGCCCGGAGCCCAGCCTGTGTGACTCAGCCTGTGTTCGTACGAGCGCTTTGGAATTGAGCTGCTTAACGGGGAATGTGGGAGAAGCTACACCGTACCCTCAGACGGCACAGGGAACAACTCGTTAGGCACATGTGTACGTGGAATATCACGCAATATTTAACGTTACGGTTACGTGCATGGAAACGGTTTGTTCTTGGCACTAGGAAGGAGCCAGGAGGCGAGCTTCTCTATCTGTTTCTGTCTCCTTGAGGTTAAAAAGCCCAAAGCAAAAGCTTGGAAGGGAGACACTGAATGGTGACGGTAGCTGTCCCATGGTGGCCAAAATAAATTCAAGGCACTTTTATGTGCTTTCCAAATATTTTCTTCAAGCAGCACACATTTCTTTCAAGTAAAAAATCATGTAACAGTGAAGAACATGCGTCAGTCTGACTGAAACACCAGGTGCTGGTGGGAACCGAGTGACACCCAGAGCACTTGGGATGTGGAGGCCCCGCCTGAGTCCTGCCTCTGCTCTCTCCCCAGGTGGGCGGGGGCAGGACGGGAGCCCAGTCATCACCTTCCCCGACTACCCGGCCTTCAGCGAGATCCCAGACAAGGAGTTCCAGAATGTCATGACCTACCTCACAGGCATCCCCAGGTACGTGCACTCAGAGGCTGGCAGACACTGCGGGACGGGGCAGCGCCTCTGTGAGGTTTCACAGTCGTGGGGTCCCCGTGACTGTGGGACGAGGCAGAGTCTCTGTGAGG